TCACAGCCTTCATGAGTATTGTCGCAGACCATGTCTATGCCTTTATGACCACAGTGGACCCATCTTGAGATGGCTACTTCCAACAGGATGTCACAAAGCTCAAATCATCTCAAACTGGTTTCTTGAAAATGACAATGAGCTCACTAAACTCAAATGGCCTCAATGGTTACCAGATCTCAGTCCAATAGAGCACCTTTGGGATGAGGTGGAATGGGAAATTCACATCATGGATGTTCAACTGACAAATCTGCAGCAACTGCATGATGTTTTCATGTCAATATGGACCAAATTCTCTGAGGAATGTTTCCAGCACCTTGTTGAATCTATGCCATGGAGAATTCCTTTAGGCAATTCTGAAGGCAAAGGGGGGTCCAACCCAGTACTAGCAAGGTGTACAGTACCTAATAAAGTGGCTGGTGAGTGTGGTGACAGTGATTCACTAGGATAGCCTTTGTGAATAGCCTTAAGGTAGCTTGCCTGTTTATAAACTGAGATGGTCTTCAATCCATTTTATATCTCCTTGAGGTGGTTAACAACAGGGTTACTAGTTGAACTAGTGCACCTATAACCATTCAAATTGATTCACTGATGTATCTGAGTCCAGAAATCCCAGATTTGCCATAACATTTGCATTTGATAAGTGAAGACACTGGTTGGCAAGGGTCAGTATATCCTTGGATTTATACACACATAGACCATTTAAAATCAGCCAGACATGTCAACTCTTGCCAGGCCCAGTAGGCATTAATGTTTAACATGTTTGTGTTCACTTTAAACTTGGCTGAACCCCAGGGATTCCTAATCCCACCACCAAAAGACACCAGATAAACTTTCCATAGCTGCTAGTACTTCTGTTGCTTGATATATCACAATCATTCACACGTTTAATATCGTGTCTTGTTCTCTTTTTGCTTGTTTGTTCACATTGCAGATTTATGTTGTCATGTATACCAGGTTGTACATTCTTTGTTAATGATAAGTTGTTCTACACACAGTGTCCAAATTTAATTCTCACCAAACAATAATATGAGCAAAAGTCAACACTGGCAAGTTCATGAAGCAATGTTTCTTGCTAGTTAGCTGGTAATTTATGACTTTATGACTTCTAGCAATGCATGATTGGGAGAATGAGATATGACTATCAATTTAAGGCTTTAATTATCATGTTTGGTCCATGTTCCAAAGGACTTTTAGTTTGTATTTTTCCCTATTGTTTATATTTTCACTTACTTACTTGCTTACTTCCTTTGTTGGAGTTTGTTTCCTTTGGTTGCCAATTAGTATCACCTGTGTCTAGTGAAGTTCCTTGTTTCCTTGGGTATTTATAGTCTTTTGATGTCTCACTTCATATCTTGATGTGGTTATGTTACGCTGTTTATCTTAAGCTGTTTTATGTTGCATTTATTTACATTGTGTTTCTTTCTACACTTTTGGATATCCTCACCAGCCTGCAATTAAATTATGATTTAATAATACAGCCCAATGCACAAGTTCTTTTACTTGAATAAGCAACTCATGATCTGGTGTTTTCGGGGTCTCAGAGCGGCTCGTTCATAGTGTATTGTTTGCTCTGCAGGCACTGTGAGTTTGGGCCAATTATAACTCCTATTTGAAAATGTGAAATACACCAACCATATTCCCAATTTATATTGCAAATCATTTATAAAACTTTCAACTAAAGAGAAGTTCTTTCCACCAAAATAATAGCTGTATGGTTGAACAATTCTATATAAAGAAATTAAGACTTTTTACTAACAATTTTACTGTTGTTCTGTAAAATAATACAGAATAATAATAATTATTAGTAGTAGTAGTAGTAGTAGTAGTAGTAGTATTGTTATTGTTATTGTTAAATTTATTGCTATTAATGCTGTTAATTTTTATTGATTTATTTAATAATAACAATAATGTATATATTTAAAAAATATATATATAATCATATGTATAAATGTATAGTTGTATATAGTCATACATTATACATGTTTTCTTTAATCTGACTATATAACTAGTTTATGATTAGTTTGAACATGACAAGTTTTTTTTTTTTTTTTTTTTACAAAATAATGCAAATACAGTTTCATAAGCAGAGGCTGTTGTTTTGACTATTCACCTGAAAACTAATACCCATGAAATATATCCTCCTTCTGGCTGTTGGAATGAGGGTACAAATAATGGCTTTGTTACTAAGAGTTGACATGAGGTGTTAGCATGAGACGAGGGAATTGTTTGACATGGCAACAGAGGCAACAAAGAGGAGGGAGCATGTCAGTTTGGCAGCTAATGGGGCAGATCTTTAGAGTTTGGTGTCACATTCTAGTCCATGCAGACTGTCAGATGAAGAAAATGTTGAATTCTTTAGTATATGTCTAATGAAAAGGTTAGTTTGATCCCTGGCCAAGCAAGTTTGGTGGAGAATTTTGCTTGAAGTAAAAAGTAAACTTTCACTAATTCATTGTTGGATTTATCGCTGTTGTCAAGGTCCTCTATCAAGATCATTTCAGGTGCAATGCAATGATTTAAAATTATGTTTGTCACTAGCATTTCAATGACAAAGTGGATTGACATGCGGTATTGTCCTTGGAAGATTGTTTCTCACATCTGGTCACGTTTACAGGAAACCAATCATCATTAGTTTAGTCTGAAAAGCACATTTAAAACTTATACATAATCTTCAATTTTGCATGTTTTGTTAGTTTTAAACACACAGACATTTCAACACCATGAGCCTGTGTAAATCAAAACTGCTCTGGAAGTATTAGCTTGGCCCAACCTGAGGGGCTGATTGACAAGGGAAACTATTTGCTCATAAAGACAGTTGGGCGAGCTGCTTTGTATCCTGCCACATGCTCTCTGTAAATGCCTCCTGTCTTGTATTTTGTCTCTTGCTTTCTCATTTCTCCTGCACACTCGTTTTTGAGTCACACCCTTGCAATCACATGGAATCAAAACAGCACTTTTTTTTTTCTGAAAGCACATTTCTGATCTTATTGTTTGTGATTCATTGTTTTATCTTATTCCAAAGAAAGTAAATGTATTAATGCCTTTCTATTTCAGCTGGTATCACCTAGGTTGTGTAGACGTTGTAGTTAAACTTACTCTGTAAATCACCAGGTACAGCACTGTACTTGTAATGCATGAAACATGAGTTATGAAGCTAAATTGAATAACTCAGTGCCATGTCGAAGCAAGTTTAATTTGTGTAGTTTCTGAAGCAAATGTATTCTAACGTTTGCTTTTGCTCTAAGTTTGATTTAGAGCAGTGTGTTGTTGTTGTTTTTTTGTTTTTGTTTGTTTTACTTCTTGAATCAGCTTTTTTATGTCATTTTTAGAGAGAAAAAAAATAAGAAAATTAGAAAGTAATAGTAAAAATAATATTTTATATTTGCAATGGTGAAATTAGAAACATGAAATACAAATTCTGAAAACATGAAATTAATAACTAGGAATTTTATTTGACAGTAAATTGTTCTTTACCCATTTTCCACTTCACAATTTTGAGTAGGCTGTGTCTCCCTTGTCTCATCTGATGAGTCACCACTGGTTTAGGGTAAGTTTTGGTCACATTTTATTTCCAAACTACCATGATACGTGCATTAACCAACATAAAACAAAGGTTGCCACAGTCATGTTGATCCATTTAGGAGAAAATGAAATACACCTTTAGCACCATTCACTGGACATTTCACTTTGAAACTGACACAAAATGTGCAAGAAGTAATATACTGTAATATCATTTTGAAAAGATTATGCCATAGACACATTTTTGCGAACATCAACATTGAGATACACTGAAATGCTGTCAAGGGTGAACTTGACCTTCAGTTTCCATGTCCCGATCAAAAGGCTTCCTCAAAAGATGCTGGTAGTGTTTCTGGAGAGGAGTAAACCTCCATAACTCAGTGTTATTAACAATCCAATCAATTGCCAATGGATAAAATCAATCCCTGTCTCATTCAATACACATTTCACTCATAAAAACGTCACATTCCGGAAGTAAAATGGCTTGTGAATGCCATTTAATGTTGGCTTCATGGTCCCAGCCAAATGGGAAACTCCAGATCACCTCACTGAGAGAGCATCTTCACTCCGTAATCCTGCACTGGTTTGAGTATTTAACAATGCTACTTTGCTGGGTTGGGTGAACTTGACCTTCAGCTTCCATGTCCCGATCAAAAGGCTTCCTCAAAAGATGCTGGTAGTGTTTCTGGAGAGTAGTAAACCTCCATAACCCAGTGTTATTAACAATCCAATCAATTGCCAATGGATAAAATCAATCCCTGTCTCATTCAATACACATTTCACTCATAAAAACATCACATTCCGGAAGTAAAATGGCTTGTGAATGCCATTTAATGTTGGCTTCAAGGTCCCAGCCAAATGGGAAACTCCAGATCACCTCACTGAGAGAGCATCTTCACTCCGTAATCCTGCACTGGTTTGAGTATTTAACAATGCTACTTTGCTGGGTTATTTGATTAGCAATCCAGTGTTCCTTCTGTCCTCTCCCAGGAGGTTTTCAAAGAGCAGCCCGCAAGATAGCTCACATCCATCCCATATTCCCTGTGGAAGTCTTTAATGTAAATTTCCTCCTGGGGAGACGCATGCAGCCTCTTTGCCTCAGTGCATTCCCTGCATGCTCGTGTACGTGATTGATCGTCCGGTCTTGGCACGTATATATGAGTTTTGTTAGTATAAGCACTGTCACGGCTCAAGGACAGACAGGGAAACCCAGCATGCAGTGATATCAAAGCAACATTACCCATAATCACACATGTCCAGAGAGCATCTCTTGGGATGTGCACTCACACTCTAATGTGGATGTGACTGACATGTACTGTAGTCTCACTACAGACCCTCCTCTTCTCTCCCCTCCTGATTTATGCCAATAAATGAAGCATCTCTCTCCTGCGCCCTCCCTCTCTCTTTCTCTCTCCCTCCCTTTCTCTCCTCCTCTCCTGCGTTCACGCTCTATCCCTCCCTGCATCTCAGTCACACTCGTTGGATCTCACAAAAGGAAGGGAAATGCCTGCAAACCCAGCGAGGTGGAGAATACGGGGGAAAGTTGCATCCAGCAGTTGCTGAGAGCGTACGCACACTGCAGGGATCCACCGGAGATGTGAGAGGTCCGAGCAGCCGCCCATCCCCCTGTCTGCTCAAGAAGACACCGGGGCCAGCTGCAATGACCTGGGTGAATGGGAAAAAGCTCTCTGTGAACCTCCACCTGTGCAACTGCCAGCAAGCGCTCGAGCTGCCCAAATAGGAGGGCATGATTGGTTGGGCTGAAACCGGCTGCTGCATGCTTCAGACATAGGTAAGGTGCCTAATCTAATTCAACAGATTTAATCTCTGAAGGGATCAATGTAATCCTCCGTTGGGGATGATGGGCTAATGCGAGCTGTCATTCTTGTTTTTTGTTTGCTTTTCTTTCTAGGGGAAACTGTACATATTGTTGTCAGATTGGCATGTTTGAGGGAGAGCGTGGTTCCAATGAAGTTTGAAAATACAAAAAGAGATGCGTGTAATCAAAACTCATGCCTTGGAGATGCTCGGAAAGATCCTCATTAAAATTCAGTGTGTGTGGCAAAGCAGGCAGTAAAATGAAAAAAGGAACGATGCCTCAAGCAATCACATCTACTTTATTCTCAAATGAACAGTAATGCAAGCCATAGTCTTCCTCTTGCATAATCGTAATTAAAACTCACGAACCTGTCAGTGAACTCTGAATATGCCGAGCAAAGGATGTAAACAACTTCATCTGGTGGCTTTGACAAGTGGACATCACCGTTCACTTGAGCATGCCTTGCATTTATAAAACTGGAATATTGAGTTAGCAAGCATTAAATGCACTATTGACTGAGGCGATGCTTAATTTGCAGTGGGCTGGGGATCTGTGAAAGTCCTTGTGGGTGGGGGTGAGGGGTCTCTCAGCTGCAGGTTTAGTGTCGGTGATTGATACATACATGTGTATATTGTACTTCGGCTCACAATTTCAATACGGCCAATCTGTGCTAATAAGGTACATAACCACATTCAGTACACAAAATCAGCTGTGTTTACATTTGCATGCCTTTTTCTTACATCATTATGAATAATAATGATGCTTGATTTTTAAAGACGAATCTCTGGCAATCTTTGAGGAAATCACTTTTTAACTGGGTGAGTTGCAGTATTTTACTGTAGGGCAAATGTCGATCCCTGGCATTGATTAATGACGTGTTTAGTGAAGAGTGGAAATCTCGTTTTGCGAATGTTGAGAATGGATAGGAAGGTATGACTACGTGATTTTAGTTTTCTCTTTAATTTGCTATACCCATTAAATGCGGGATTTGCTTGGGGACCCATCAGCTTGAAAACTGCTTCATCATGTCCTCTATATTCAGTGACTGATTTGCTCTCAGGCCCACTGTTCTGCTCCACGTTTACTCACATGTCCAATGCAATCTAATTTGAAAATATTAAAGCTGTCATATGGTCTCCTGAGGAATAAACAGTTATATGAAATTCAGTGTCTTGTTAACGCAGTGGTTGGCTGACATCCCGAGTCAGACACAGCAGCTCATATGCATGCAAATGCATACTCCAAACCAGTGCATTTTTTTAGTTACAGCACAACTCGCTAAAAGTTTATGACAACACGTGGAAGCACCATACTGCATTTCCGAGATTGAACCAGCATATAAATGTTGCATTAAGAGGTGACTTGGACTGCGCAATATACATCACACTGCTGAGTAGCAAACTGTATAATGGCCATGTCACCCGCTTTAAGGGGACAAACATCAGTTGGAAAGTATACAAAGGGACAGTAATGGGATTTAATTATAATAGCATGGTATTTTGATATATACCATGGTACTAAATGATTGTCATGTACTATGTTATATACATAGTACTTTATAATTCATAAAATAATTCATATAATACTTTATAATTATACTTTACTTCAGACAATACCAAACAACCACGGTAGCACCATTTGATTTTGTGTTTTTATGGACTTTATCACTATCCAGTTTGATCGTTGACATAGGAAATATTGGGCCTCATCTATGAAATGAACGTACGACAGAAAATTGGGCGTACGGTCGTTTCAACGCAAAACTTGGAATTTATCTATATGGACGTGAGCGGTGTCTATGATCAAATCTCACGTCTGGTCTCAGCTCGTGTACACAAGTTCAACGCAAGTACAAATCAAAAATATCTGCAATGGACTGGCTATCTGTCCAGTCTCCAGCATCCCCACAACACTGTACTGTAGGTTTGGTGCATATTAAAATGTATTATTAATCTGTGTTGTGTGTGTGTGTGTGTGTGTGTGTGTGTGCATTTTCTTTCTTCCTTTCTTTTTCTATTATTTTCTTCTTTTTTCTTTTATTTTCGTTTGTAAGTTGCAATTACAAACATTCTCCTCTTTGAATTATATTTTTGTACTTAGCCTTTACATGCTGCTAGCTAGTTTAACATCTAATAATAGTAATTAAATGATATTAAGCTTTTTAATTGAAATACAAACTTTTATATTTTAAATCAATATAAATTTTAAATTAATAATAGGCCTATATTTTCTCGTTGTAAATCTAGATAAATTCACTTACACTGACAGAAATTTATATATTTTATGTCACTATTTTCCTCTCTTCAGCATTCCTCTCAAGCTTTTGTGACACCAGTGGTATTTCCTGTTGCTGTGTAAATGTGTTTTAATTCTTCATAATGATCTATTAATTATCATCCAAGAAATAATTCACGCTAACTCTTGCCAGCAGGGAATTGTTTTGTCTTGTGACAGGATCAGGATCAAATCGTGAGTTCACAGAGAAAGTTCCAATGGAGTGTAGTAGTGGAACCACTTAATCCAGGTTGGATCTGTTTGGTTTGGTGTTCTCAACCCATACTTAAAACCCTGATCATACAAAATGATGCACATTAGCTCTAACACAACTTCAGAAGGGTCCTGCTGGTTTGACAATCTGGACACGTTCTGAGACTTTATTGGGTCCTACATGACACAAGGGAGGTAAGAGGCTGGGTTAAAATTAGAAACATGACTCAAGCCTTTCAGCTGTTGGTGCTAAAGGAGTCAAAAGACTGATGCTATTAATAAAGGGTGTTCTAGACAAACAGGCTTCTGGTGACTTGAAGACATGATACTGAACACAGAATTGAATTATCTAATTTGACATGGATAACTAAACAATCTATTTTGTAAAACTCAACGTGCATGTTTTATTTACTTTTCCCATTAAAATTAATTATTGTAAACCAATGATTCCGTTAGATCGTATCACATAAAGTACCAGTGTTGTAGTGGAGACCAGCTCATTCTAAGTCCGAGTCCGGGCCGAGACCTGAGTAGGTTGAGTCAGATTCAAGACCGAGACCAGAGGAGGGTCTGAATGATTCAGACAGTGTAAATATGCTTTCCTTTGGGATGAATGTAGCTTGGTTTAGTGTCAGTGTCTAGCAAACCTTTGCAGTGTGCTCCGGTCTAGAGAGACAATAACACAGAGCGGACAACATGCGTGAGCCATCACAGACTATAAAACATATCCGCAGTGCTGTAGTACTCCAGACCGAATATAAGTCAGTATGAGTCAAGCCGGGTCCACATGCTCCTGAGTCCATGACAAGACCAAGAAAATGAAAATTTTATCTGGACTTGGACTCAAAATGTACTAGAGAATGAGTTAGATCTCGAGTACAACACCGTGAAGTAAATTTTTAATTGAAACAATTCTGATGAAATATTCTGGCAAAAAGAACTAGCTTATAATTGGAAAACGTGATCCACCTTGGAAGGTCAAAACTAACATTTTAGCAAGACTTGTACCAAAACCCCTTACTTTTTAGCATAGCATGTGTATATAAACAGAACATGACAGGCATATCAATAGGTTAGTGTGTCATATAGTGTTGATTGCAGACTGAAGTTGATGTGAATGCGGTAGACACAGCTGAGAGCTGCAGTGCAGTGACACAAAGGGCTATTATAAAAAACACACCCACTCTAGTGAACATTTCACCATGGCATCTGCGATTAGCCATAAAAATTGAGATGTAGTTTTTCAGGATTCGCGCCATGCCTTGCCAGTAGACTTCATGCAATCACTGCTAATAAGACTTAAAGCAGAACCCATGTATTATATATCGCACAAAGAAAATAAAGACAATTTTTAAGACCACTATTTTTATTTTTATTTATTATTATTATTAAAACATTTTAAGAACAATCTACTTCACATACAGGCAATGTTATATTGATTTTAAACCATATATTTTCAACAAAAGGGTTATTCTGTACAAAATTAGAAAACATTCTAAGAACAATCTAATTCACATACAGGCAATATTATATTGAAATTAAACCATGTCTTTTCAACAAAAGGGTTATTCTGTACAAAATTCTTATCAAATACTTCTTCTTTCGCTTCCATTTTAAAATAATCATATAATACTTGAAGTATTAAGACCATCCTTTGTTTAAAAAGCTTACACACAGAAACATTCTCCTTTTTCTCTTTTTCCACATTCCTTCTTTTCCAAATTATTAATCGTGCAACTGTTAACATCATATTTAAAAAACAAACATTTTTGGCTTCACCTTTAAAACCAAACAAAAATATTGTTTCCCAATTCACATCAACAGTTGTTTCTTCAACCCCCAAATTTTTCACCATTTTTTTCAATTTTTTAATAAAACATTTCAACCTCACACATTTAAAAAATAAATGTAATATTCCTTCTTCTTCTCTATTACATACTTTGCACATTGCATCTTCTGCTATACCAATCTTACACAGTCTCATTTCTATATTCAGTGACTGATTTGCTCTCAGGCCCACTGTTCTGCTCCACGTTTACTCACATGTCCAATGCAATCTAATTTGAAAATATTAAAGCTGTCATATGGTCTCCGGAGGAATAAACAGTTATATGAAATTCAGTGTCTTGTTAACGCAGTGGTTGGCTGACATCCCGAGTCAGACACAGCAGCTCATATGCATGCAAATGCATACTCCAAACCAGTGCATTTTTTTAGTTACAGCACAACTCGCTAAAAGTTTATGACAACACGTGGAAGCACCATACTGCATTTCCGAGATTGAACCAGCATATAAATGTTGCATTAAGAGGTGACTTGGACTGCGCAATATACATCACACTGCTGAGTAGCAAACTGTATAATGGCCATGTCACCCGCTTTAAGGGGACAAACATCAGTTGGAAAGTATACAAAGGGACAGTAATGGGATTTAATTATAATAGCATGGTATTTTGATATATACCATGGTACTAAATTATTGTCAT